AAGGTTGAACATATCAAAAATAACATATGAACAATTGTAATTAAAAGATTAAATTGAAAACAAATAAAATTTTTATAAAAAGAAGGAAAAAGGATGAAAATTAAAAGATTAAAAGATTAAAAATTAAAATTAAAATATTAAAACCAAAAAAAGATAATAATGTACTTTTATTGCAGGAAAGAGAAAATAAGCAAAGCAAAAGATGAAATGACTATTAGTAACAAATTATTCATCCTTTATCATTATATGTTATACTAAAAAGAAAAGAATATGAGATGCTTCTAAAGAAACAAAAAAAAATTAAGTTATGTTATAAAATGGCATCGCATACACCACTCGAATAACATGAATGACACTCATTCATTAGAGTATAATAAGTATATGCTTACAACGTTTCTAAATAAAAAATTAAAAATTCAATATAAAAATATCAAAATACTTTTAGTAACACTAAAAATTATTAAAAAACCCGCATTAAAGGAAAAAAAAAGGCCCAAGATGCATACCTTATTATTGTTTTCTTTTCATATTTTATAAAAGTAAATACATAATTTTACTATATTATAAAAAAAAAACCTTGGTCGGCAATTTTATATATTTCTAACCTTAAGAGTAAAAAAATATCTTTATCTTTTTAAAGTTTATAAAAAAATATAAAAAAATTACTAATTAATAATTCTAAATTTTGTTGACTTTAAAATAGAATATAATTTGACTATAAAAATTTTATAAAAAATTAATATGCTCTCATCAATCTTTTAACAATTAATAAGTCAGTGAAAAAAACTTAATTGCCCCACCATGAAAGTTCCAACTTTTACTATCGAAGGATAAAATAAAAATTTTACTGTAGCAATTTTTTGTGTTGCCACACTAAAAAATCTCATATCTTATACATTTTGTTCAATTAATTAATTAATTAATTAATTAAACACAAATGAGTGGGGTGAAATCACTTTAGAACCATTCATATTGGAATAGTGTTGTGTTTTTTTTGTTTTAATTTCACCATTCAAAAACCCAATTGATTTATTTATTTATTTTTTAACTATATTATTTAATATTAAATTATTTTGAAAATTACACTTTATATTTTTTTTTTATTTTTTTATTAGATTATATATCAATTTCATGAATTTAGATTATTTTTGTGTTTTAACCTTCAATATTAGATTTGAAGGAAGTGACATTTTGTATTTTATTTATTTATTTTGTATTTTATTTATTTTGATTACATGATTTATGCTGCGAGTTTAACAGATTAATTTGGATTGATTCATGTTGCTTTTTCTTGCTGCTTTTTTTTTTATTAATTTTATCATTTAATGCTGGGTTGCCTAGAAATTGAACTTTATTTATTTTTATTTGCTTTCTATAAGGTTATTTTAATTTTACAATCCAAATCGAGGATTTGATAAGTTGACCGGGGTTGACTTTGTTTATTTTTTAGATCATTTATTAATTGAATTTTTTTATTATTATTTAACCCTCCAATAACTCAATCTCTTTTTATTTATTTACTTTTTTAATTTCATCATCCAATATTAGATTGTTTAAGAATTAAACTTTATATTTTTTTTTAATTTGCTTTATATAGCATTCTCTCATTCTAATGGATATAGGTTTTTTCTCTCAATTTTAATATCGGACTCTATTGGAAATGGAACTCTATTTTTTAATTTTTTTTTCTAAAGTTATCTTGATTTTATAATTCAGACTATAAATTTTATAAGTTAATTTTAGTTGATTTGAGGTTTTTTATATATTTTTTTAATTAATTTTTTTATTTCATTTCTTCAACCATAAATTGATTGAGAAGTGAGTTTCATAATTTTTTTATTTGTTTTTTATTGGATTAATGTAATCTCACAAACTCATATTATAGGTTTAACAAATTAACTTGAACTCATCCACATAATTTTTTATGTTTTTTATTTTTTTTAATTTCATTATTTATTATTTAAGTTAGTTATAAATTAAATTTTATAATTTATTTTTTATAGAGTTATAACCATTTTGTAACTCTGATTATAAATTATTATGAATTCAACTCAATTATCATGTTTAGAACAATTTTGAAGATCAGCTTCTCAAATCCGTGCAAAAATAAATTAACTCGACCCCAGCCCCTGTTATTTGCTGCAATGATATGGAGGAATCAATGTTGAAAATTAATATCCTAAAATGTCCATAGTTTTCTCTTCCCGTTTTTGTGCTATCTGTACTTTAAATAAAGGAAAAAAGGGTCTCCGTGCTGGACAAAGGGGGGCTTTTAGAGAGAGGAAGAAAACATTATATATGGAAGAGAGAATAGGTATGGGAGCAGGATAGAAAAAGAAATGATTTGAATTCACAATAGAAGGTATTTGTCATAAATAAGTGAGATTGAAATCAATTTTAGTATTATAATTAAATTCAATTATAGTACAGTAAAGAATTCATTTCCAAGTTGAAGTAAATATAAATATAAAATAATTTAATTGAAAACCCCTTATTGTAGCTCTTGTGTTTGTTTTAATTCAGCAAGTCAACCTATGCAAGAAAAAAGAGTCAAGATTTACTTTATGTTTGCAAAATTTAGTTGGCTAGACTAAATTACATTGAATTCAAAAATAAATACCAATTAAGAAGTTTCAAATATGTTTAAGAAATTAAAAAATAATATTATCAAGAAGATATTTCTTGAATAAAAAATAATTTCAAAAATTTTAATAAACTAAGAAAAAACGAAGTTTTTTTTTAATATAAGAAAAGGATTAAACTCAATTTTGAAAAATTTTCAATAATTAATTTTTTTTTTAAAGATATATATATTTTGCAATCTCCCAAATTTTTCTCCTTCAAAATGCTCTCTCTACCCGATATATGAGACTTCCAAGCAAAACATTATTTGTCCAATTATTATCTAAATCTATTTCATAAGTATAAATAAGTTTATTCTTAAGTCAAACTGGTCTCAAATGCAAATTTAGAATTAACCAAATTTTTTTTTTTTTAAACCTTTGAAATCCAAAAATTACAAGGAGGGTAAAATGGAGCTTGGAAGCCTGTATTGTTCAGTTTTTGAGCCAGGTAAGTAACATGGGTCTTCTGGGGTTATCATGTGCCCCAACCCACTTAGGAAGATATTTGAATGAATTGTTTGCCCCACTGTCAATCTCAGAAATGATGGAGCAATAAAGACAACAACAAATCAGTACACCACTCCATAATGTTAGAGAGAAATTAATAAAATAATCACAAGAAACCTCATCAATAAATGTTGAAATCCTAAAATTACCAATCACCTTCCTATAACTACAAAAACTGATAACCTTTCAATTTTTAATACACACACTCGCGCGCACTTCATATTCATGTTTAGAAGGATACAAAACAAGGTAATTGCTTCCAAGTCCAATTTCATCGTGTCCAGATATATACTGAATCTAAACAATTATTGTTTGGTCAGTATAAATACCCGTAAATTTCATGAGATATTGAATTTAATATTTTTGAATTTAATTATAAGTTTATCCTAAATTTATATGGATATAGTGAGATATCAAATATAAAATCTATAAGTTTAGCTATTTATTAAGTTTAAATACATCTCATTAGACCCAATATTTCTTGAGTTAAACTATATATTAAATTCAAGTATATATAAGTTTGATAAACTATCAAACCTATCACCATTAGATTTGGATAATTTCGAGTTAAGAAATCTCATCAAATAAATGTTAAAATTCTAAAATTATTAATCATTTTTTTATAATTTTTTTTTATTAATATAAATGTTTGTATTAGCTTGCATACACCTTGGTTAATTTTACGATTTTTAAAGTTAATGATTATATAAGTTTTCAATGATTCTGAAATTTGTGTGATTTAAACTGATAATTTTTATTAAATAAATCTAAAATCTAACTAGTTAAATTATATTCATCAAATTTTTTTATAATTGATAAGTGTATATTCAGTTAAATTATATTCATTAAATTTTTTTATAATTGATAAGTGTATATTAATACACGGATAAATTATAAAAACTGATAAATATATTAATACACAAAGACTATGATGGGACAATGCCTTGATCAAGGCACATTAGATCAAGATATTATCGGAATCCATACTCCTCTGTCAATTATAAAAACGGATAAATATATTAACATACAAAGAATATAATGGTACAATGCCCTGATCAAGGCACATTGGATCAAGATATTATCGGAATCCATACTCCTTTTCTTTTATAAGAGTAAAGGATGAGATAAGCTTCAAATTTCTTTGCATCCATGATCTTGAATATTCCATATTCCACCATGAATATTATGGGGCACCATGAATATCAGGGGGGGGGGGAACTTGATCCAATCCTAAAAGGCCAAGTAGAACAAGAAGATACCTAATGTATTGGATAACATGATAGTATACCTGCTTGCTTTCCATTTAATAGGAGATTAAAAATACATTTTAATAAAAATTACTTTAAAAATAATTATTACAACATTTCTAAACACTCGTAACAGGAGATGAAAAATACAAAAGAAGACCATTTCTGTCAAAGCAGACCACATTTTTTTCCCGGGGTTGTCGATGGTAACATGGCAAATCCAATCATTCACCTAGCTAAACCTACTCCACAAAAGCATGAAATACAAGGAGCGATGATGGAAAAGAAACAAGTAATGTTGCAGAGCAGGTGTAACTTGGTAATAATGCACATAACATTGCATTCATTGGCACAAAATGTCAACCCTTACCTGCTCCTGCCGAACGACTCGCATGCAAAATCAGCAGACAGGACATTTCCTCCCTCGATGACCGGCAAGAACAAAGAAAACATGCCTAGGAGTTTTAATCGATCTTATCTTGTTCATGAAACACCTAAGTTGTTTTGGAATATGGACAGTGATGCCTCTACCGGCATCATCATTGATGAGATTGAATTTAAACATCTGAAGATACATTGCTTTGAAAAGCCCGAAACACAGTAGCTTGCCAAAGAAAAAGAAATGGAGGCATATGAAGAAGGGAGAGAGAGTCCCAAGAACAAGACAAGAGATTCAGAGGAGTGCCATGGTGATATAATGCTGGGGAAGATGGAAGAATTGACGAAGATGAAGGAAGAACTGCAGAAAGCAAAAGATGAGGCTATGCAATCATGGTTAGATTCCAGGCCTCTGATCGATGAGCTTGAAAAACTACAATCAGGTCTCGCGAGTGCTAAAAACCGGGCGTCTATGTCTAACATTGTGATCTCGGAGCTTGAATCACAGCTTGAGGCCACCAATGCGGACACCCGATCCAAAATGGAAGAAGAAATCAAGGTCACAAATATGACCAATGAAATAACTCGGGCTATGGATCATTTGCGTGAAGAATTCAAAAGAATCAAGCTGGAAACAGATGAAGAGCGCAGAGAAAGATCAACACTGAAACAGGTCCTGAGGCTGAGGAGGCAGACTCTACGAAAGTTGCAACTAACACTTCGAGCAGTACAGATAGAATCAGAAGCTTTCGGAGAATCAGCAGCAGCAGCACTAGGGCACATCAAGAGTTGGGAATCAGAGAATAGCACTGTTCAACTCAGCCAAGAAGAGTATCTTTCCTTAAAGCGAAGAGCCAAAGAAAGGACATCACTTTCTGACTGGCGGATTTCTGTGTCCACGGAACAGAAGTTAGCAGCTGAAGAAAGCCGAAACTTAGCGTCAAGAAGATGGAAAGAAATTCTCTCTGAAAAGAACATGTCATGGAGAAGGAGAATGGAAGATGAAAAGACAAGGGAAGATGGATGCACCATTAAAGAGGAGGAGGAAGAAGATTCAAGGTCCAAGAAAGTGAAAAGATCAGGAAATGCTTTTCCTAAAGCTCGACCAAAAGCAATTTCTAAATCCAAATCGACTACTCCACCACAAAAAACGAGAGGATCAGCGAGGAAAAGAAATAAAAAGCTACAAAAGAAAAAGAAACTATCCATTTTACAACAAGTAAGGCGTTTTCTAGTACAAAGCATGAGAAAACTCTTTGGATGATTCAGATGGCTACGTGAAGTGGCAAATTACCAGTTTCAGGCAAGAAACTATAAAATGTAACAACTCTGGCTTGAGAAGCTGAAGTTTTTCTAATTTTCTCCATGACTCTAAAATCTAAATATCTGCAGCTTTAAAAAAGATCAATAAAGCCTGAAGAACAGAGAAAAATAAACATATCTAACTCTGTAAGCAAAATCTGAGCGCTCCCTTTTCAGTGCCTGACAGGGAAGGGGAGCAATACTTGATTTAGCAATTCAAAGATATTGGATTCCAGTTCCACATATTTTATAAGCAGAGAGATGGACTCATGCTTGTTGTTTTCATGTTCAAGACTTCAAGTAGTGCATAGAATACAAGTCCTTGTAAGAAGTAGGAGAAAAACAAGAAAGCTAACAATTACTTGCTCCATATTTCCAGATTGCAAGCATAAATTCATACAAGTCACGAGGTGCTTGATACCATCATCAACATTAATTCCACTCCGTTACAGAAGGAGACTTAATGCAGCAAGACTTTGAAGAATGACAGCGGACAATCTACTTCAAAAACTAAATTGTAATCTGGTTGAACAAAATGTACCAATAAAAAAAAAATAAAAAATAAAAAAATTGTAAGACTTTTAAGGGACTAGAAGTTTTGGTTATGTCCCTGTATTTTATTATATGCAGGCACACACGCACACACCCTCTCTCTCTCTCTCTATATATATATATATATATATATTCCCTTTTCTCCTAAATCTTCCTAGAATAATTAGTTCATGAACCCCGCTACTCCGCGTCTGCACAAATGTTTTAAAACATAAAACAATGTCCACGGCATGGAATTATTTTTAAAAGCCATTGAATCTATATTGAAACCTTTCAACCTTATATCTTATCTAAGCCCGAGTTTCAAGTTAAATTATATAGTAGCTATTCCAACATTACATAATTAATTTAGCAGTTTTAAAAATAATGGGAAGAATCTATATAAAAACTTGGTTTGACTTTAACATTCTATAATTCAATCAAAATCACACTTGTTTATTAATTTTAAAAAAATTATAATTTACGTCATGACCTTTATATGTGTGCTGACGCCTAATATTCTTGCAAAACCAATAAAAATCATTTGATTATTTACAGATTTGTCATTATTTTTTATTTAATAAATAAAATATTTTTATATTAAATATTATAATTTTTCCATCAAATAACAGAAAAAAAAAACTAGCCACCATCCCATTCTATTCTCATCATCAAAATCCAGTCATCCATACTTAACAATTGAACAATGAAATGAAAAATATGGTAGAGATAGGAGTTGTTTATTTTCATATATTCAAAAGGTTAAACATTATTTTATATTCAACTATAGAATGCATATAAAATTATATTATATTTTTAATTATAGTTATTAAATTTGGACTAATTTAGTGGCTGGACTAATATGAATAAGATGAAAAATTAATGAAAACAAATAATAATCAAACTCAGTCGACTCGAGTGAACCGAATCAACCTGGATGAGAGACATGATTTATATATATTAACTTTATTTAACACTCACCTAACAGAAAAATGAAAGTTAAAGTTTATGATATAATTTCTTTCTTTCAAGTTTGAATAGCCAAGAGTATTAACAGCCAAAAGCTAAATTGCTTTGTTTTCCAACAGAGAGTTCAAAGCAGAAATTGGTGCTACTTCTAGCTGGTGCTATTACTACAGGTGCTCTATCTCTCCTACACTAATATTAAGTCCAACGCATCTGAAATTTGAGTATAGATACAATATTTGAGTAAGCTTTCAAAATATAGATATCATGTCCAAGCTAAATTGTTTGCTTATAGATATAATATTTGAGTAACCTTTCAAATATAGATATTATGTACTGCGCTGATATATGATTCTCGCATCTGCAATTCCGAATATAAACACAGTATTTTGAGTAAACGTTCAACCATAGATGGTGATGAGATTTTCTTTCTAGTTGCATTAATCAGTGCTCTGCTCTTCGTTTAAGGCAATGAAATTGCCGCATCTTTCAGTTTCTCTTGGGAAAAAAAGATCGATTTGGGAGAAAGAAGAAGAAGAAGAATGAAGTAATAACCTTTGAACCCTAGTAACTTTCCTAGAAAGCAGATTTTGTATGAACACACAGGGAAGAAATCTCTATGCTAGCCATTCCAGGGAAAGATACAGCCAACTATACAGGAAAAACAAAAAATAGTATTTGAGTGTAACCGTAGCATTTGAAATACAGCAAAGGTATGCTTCCTTGCTGTTGAGGTGACTGATTTATTCATAGTATTTTACTTTGCCATGTATAAAATGCTATCTTGCTGTTAAGATCCCCTTTTGTTTTTTTAAGTTAACAGTAACCTTTATTAATCTGCCAAAAGCTTGGATGAAGTGTTGTGATTGAGGTGGGTTGCATTAATAATTCTCGCTGGCTTATGTGTATAGTTTATAAGTAGACTCGATAATGGCCACGTTCTTAAATCTTCCCTCTTCTATTTTTTTTTTTAATTCTACTAAGTATTCAACATGTTCTAATTGTTTTTGTGTTTTTATGTAGTTAAGAATATTAATTTATGAATTCTAAGGATGTTGATTTATGAATTTTAATATAAAATAAAATTATGATATTGATTTATAGATTTTGATGCAAACTAGAGTTTGTATGTTATGATTTTATATTTATTATGTTAAATTATTTATTTATAGAACAACTTGTTATTTTATTATTTTTATCTTTAATATCTTTAAATTATGTTAAAAATTTATTTATTTGAAGAAAAATATACCTTTTAATTTATTCATGCTAATTAATTATGCTAGTATATATATATATTAATGTGATATTTTCTTGTTAATTATACTAGCATATATGTTAATCTGATATATTTTTTTTTTATGTTAGCTAAATTTTATGTCAAAACAACTATATGAATGTATATCTTGATTTTTAATTTGAGTTGATTTATTAAATTTATAATTTGATTATTTTATCAAGTAAACTAGCAATGAGATTTTATAAAAATATGATAATATTTTTATATTTAAATCTAAAAAAGAAGAAGAATTGTTATTTAATGTCCACATATTCTGAGCAAAATAATGCACACATGATCCACCCCAACACACATAGACTAAAATAAATAAAATGGAAAACCCTCGAGATGAGTAAATCTCTGTCAAAATTAATTTTGACTGAAACTAAGAGGACAATTATATTTACTTGCACATCATCCCGTTAAATATAAGCTCAAATCAGATTTTGAAAAAGCCCTTCTCCTTTAGGCTCTCAGTATTGTCTCCAGGAGTCAAATCCACTGGAATGAAGTTGATAACCAAAGTTTTTGCTTTAGGCCTGGCAGTACAATTTTCTTGTTAGAAGTAGATGAGAATTTGGGATTTCACAGCAAAGAAGAAAAGGAATAAATCAAGTGGTCATAGACTTCATTGGATTTGAGAATATATTTTAAATTTTTTTATTTAATTAAAAAATTAGATACTTATAAAATTAAACACTAATAAAATATCAGGATGTTTATTTACATTTGTGATAAACCTACAAAAATTAAACCGAAACAAATAATGAAATCTAATTTAAAATTAATTAAATATTAAATAATGAAATTAAAAAAAATAAATTATGAAGAAATTGAAAAAAAAAAGCCAACTAATCGTGCCTTTTTAGCCTATCACACTCAGAGCTTAAAAAAAAGTCTAGACACACGGGTTTAGGACAGCCCACATACTTGAGCCAACTTTTTTTTTTTAAGGGGCGATCAACATGTTGTTTAGTTTTTTTTTTAATAATAATAATAAATAATGTGTCACTAGCTGCTCTAAATTTCAATATGCATTCAATCTTAAAAGGTAAAAAAATATTTTCATCTATTTTCTTAGTTGGAAACCCATTTATAACATTAACTTGATTGAAAATTGAAAAATCAATCCAAATCTAAAAAATATTTTGATACCATATCTCTTTTTTTATAACATAAAGAGAAACAAAAAATCTAAATGAAACTTTTCTCATTAAATGAAACTAATTGACACCAAGAATAATTGTTTATCAACTTTCTCTTCTTTTTGTTGTAATTCCATGACTCTCTCTCAACCCCAAGGACTAAAATGTGAGAAAAGTAAGATTTTAAATCAAATTGTTTAATTCACAAACTAAAAGGACTAAAAAAAGAAATTTGAAAAAATCTCAAAGGAGAAAGATAGTAACATAAAAGTTCTCTCTCTCTCTCTCTATATATATATATATATCATTTTCTCTCTACACAAAAATATTATAAGAACTACAAGAAAACTAAAGTAAAGGGAAATAGCTTAAAAACAATACCTTTTGTGTTGATTTTTAATAAACCAACAAAAGCCTCTGTATAGACCTTGAAAGAAAAAATAAGTTTTTATTTTTTCAATATATGAAACAAAAACTATACTCACATATAAAGACCTTATATGAAAAAAAAACAATTGTTTTTCAATATGGGACAAAGCCTTAAGATTAGATTTTGTTTTTTTGTTAAATCCACCATGGGTTCTTTAAAATAAATCTTTCATTGACTCATATTTAGTTTTAGATATTTTAATATTCAGTGTTATAATATTTATATTGAGAAATAATTTTTGACAAAGTCTTAACAAAAGATAAAAAAGGATCATAATTTTAATTAGACTTAAGATATGCCTAATAACCATGTCTAAAAGCCAATGTTTTTCAATAATCCCCTACATGAATTATTGATTGATTGATATATAAAGAGATATGAAATTATGGAATGACCGGGAGTGGGAGAGGGAGAGAATTGTTAGGTCACTATATCAAATGTAGCTTTCGACTTTAAATATTCTCTAATGAATTATTATTAAATTTATTTGACTAATTAGTGAGGACGATGTTTTGAACAATTTAGCTTTTTATGTAAACTAAGACAATAATACCCATATAATTTCTTTCTAAATTCATAAGTGTTTTACAGAAATTTTTTATTGAAGTGAT